GCCTTTGTTCTCCGGACGTGACCGCGCGCGTGTGTGTGTGTGTGTGTGTGTGTGTGTGTGTGTGTGTAAGAGGCGCTAAGGAGTCTTCGGAGAAGTGACGATCGATCGTAGTGGGTTCGGCAAAGGCAGGGGATACAAAGTCTATGTGCAAGACTCAAACTTTATCTCTGTGTGGTAGCAACGCTGTTGGGAACGTAAAGTTTCATAAACAGACGTCATAGCAGCAGCGAAAGTATCAAAAATCTAGAACTAAGGTATAAGTTAGTTTCACTACCAGGAAAATTGCAAAACATCACCAGAGACATTCAAGGAGATCTAAAGAATTGGAGAGACCATGTTTGTGGAGTAGAAGACTCGATACAGATTCTCCCCCAAATTCATTAATTTGCTCCAAATCAATTTATAGAACCACAGAAATTTGGGGGGCACCTGGGCGGCTCAGTAAGTTAAGCGTCCGACTTCAGCTCAGGTCATGATCTCACGGTCAATGAGTTCGAGCCCCATGTCGGGCTCTGTGCTGACAGCTCAGAGCCTGGAGCCTGCATCAGATTCTGTGTCTCCCCCTCTCTCTGCCCCTCCCTGGCTCACACTATGTCTGTCTGTCTCTCTCTCTCTCTCTCTCTCTCAAAAATAAATAAACATTTTAAAAAAAAATGAACCAAAGAAATTTCTATCCAGATCCTACCTAAGTTTTTGTGGAACTTAACATTCTGATTCTAAGATCTACATGGAAATACAAATTCGACTCAGCAAACATTTATGGCTCCTGGTACTTGGGATACATCAGAAAATACACTCATCAGAGACCCTGCCTTGTGCAGGTTTCGTCCCAGCAGCGAGACCCTCGAGGAACATTACCCCAGGAAGCGGCTTACCCAGCATGGCCGAAAGGTAATAGACTTTGTGGAAAATGAACAGCGGGGCAGGGTGAGGGGCAGGTGGGCTGCGGGGGGTGGGGGAGAGTTTGCCGAACTAGCAGATGGCTGAGGGGGACCTCACTGAAGGTGACATTTGCAAAGCACGACAACAGCTCAAACACAAAGCCAGGAAAGGTGTGAGAAGACATGTTCCTGCGGATGCCAGGGCACGTCGTGAACCCTCATAATCAAGACAGTGTGGGGTCGCTGTGGGAAAGACTAACAAACAAGCAGAACACAATTGTCTGCGTGGACCCCTGATTTAAGACGACGGTGGCACGGCCCCATGGTGGGAAAAGAGAGGGCATCTCGGTAAACATCGCTGGGACGACAGATTGCTTGTGTGATGGGGGATGAGAAATTGTGCTCCCACCTAAATCCACCCTCAAAAATGCATTCCAGCTGGATTAAAGACCGAGCCATAAAAAGTGAAGCATTCAGAAGATAACATACAAGAATGTATTCATGATCTTGAAGTAGAGATTGGTAAATCAACGAGAAAAGGCAAAACCACTAGGGGGAAAATAGAGAGCCCTCGGGTGGGATCTTCCGGGGGGGGGAAATCCAAACGGCTGGCCAGGATGAGCCAGCGTGTGCCTGTATCACGGCCGGAACTGTTAGCGAGCCCACTGGGAACTGCAGAACCACTAGGTGGGGACGGCCTGAGGACATCAAGGGCCGGCAGGAACATGGGTCGTCCGTCCTTTGACCCCCTCGGGAAACGCCGTTGCCCCATCTGCTGAACCCGAGGAAATGCAAACCGTGTGACCCAGCAAGTCTACTCTATGTGAACTCTCCGTACTCCGACAAGGCGCGAGCTTCTACACGCCTGTCCTTAGCAGCATTGCTGACAGTCGCGAGGTCGGGAACAAGCCAGACGGCCAGCGGACAGGGTGAAGGGAGTGCAATGTGTTCCCGAGGACGAATGACGTTCGGGGGCCACGAGAGCGCAGGAACCAGCGCTGCTCGGAAGGTGGGTGAGTCTCACCGACGGGACTTTGACGGAGGAAGAAAAATGCACAAAGGGCACACACGGCACGATTCCATGTCCATAAAGTGCACCCCTACACGGTGCCACCAGTGGTGTAAGACTGCAAAGAAGGTGGTAAAAAGCCACTACCGGGTACGGCACGAAGGGGAAGGCGGGGCTTTGGGGTGCGGAGGGGGTGGCGGGGGCCGGTGGCCTTCTGTAGCTTTCTTAACTGGGCTGGAGCCAGGGCCGGACCCTCCCTGGGAGGCAGGGGTCCAGATGCAGTTCACGATCACTGCTATTAACACTTTCACCTGCGCCCCTTGAGGGGCCCTCAGAGCGGGCCGGGCGGCCAGGCGTCTCCACTTAGAGACCAAGACTCAAGTGTCAGCGCAGAGCACTCTCTTCAAGGTCCGGGTCTGGGATCCACAGCGACTCCCTCCGTCTTCAGACGACAGCCGTCAATACCAGCTGGCAACCACTTACAAGAACTTGCGTTTTCCTGGCTACTTGCCTTGGAAGGGGAGCCCCGTGAGGGCAGAGAATCCCGTGCCTGACACACAGGGCGCACTTGGCAAAATCCGCCCTGAGGACGAACAGGCTCCTGGTTTACGGCAAACACCATGGAAGCCGGACTTAGAAACGGGGTGCAGCGGGGCAGGAGGAGGTCAGAGAGAGTCGCCACCGTCACGCACCCTCGCCTGCCGGGTGACATCGGCCGACGTGGGTTCAGATCCTGCCTCTGCACCTGTACAGCTGTTTGACCGCCGACAAACGACCTCCCCTCTCCAGACCTTCATTTCCTCACCTGTGAACTGGGGGTACAGTCCCGCCCTCACAGGATGCTTCCCAGCAGGGTACCAGACACAGCCCACCCCTCGCAGCCCACGCAGCCCTCACTGCCTCCCTCGTGGGCAGGAGGCCGGCGGCCCTGTCCCCATCCAGGAGACGGCCACACGGCCCCAGAAAGGGGTGTGAGCTTCCTGAGACCGTGCACACGTCCCTCCCTCCCGTCATCATGAAACGAACTCCCTTCCCCACATTCCACAGCTCGTTGAGTCGGGGCCTTGGGCACCGGGCTGCTTCGTAAAGCACTTGGCGCCCAGGTGGCGGCGGCCGGGGCACCGAGCACAGGTTCACCCCGAGACCCGGCGGCACAGTGGGGACCTGGCGGCGTGGTGGGCCGGGGGCGGGGGGCGGCAGGGCTGGGCCCAGAGCCGTTTCAAGTGCACCTCGCATCACAAAGTCAGAGTCACACGAAAGGACCTAAGTATGTGCCTCCCTGGGGGAGGCTGGAGCGCAGAGGAGGGTGAACTCTTACAAGAACGTCAATTTTTTTTAAAGCCTATTTTCAGTGATTGCTGTTCTGCACCAAGTTTCAGCCTGGTGGGAGTTTCATGTCGGAACTACGAAGTGGGCGTTTATAGCGGACAAGTTAATTGTCCTTGTGTGGGGTGAACAACCGAGCGATATCCAGGTACCCGGGTGGGGTGCTTCCCGGCTCGGTCAGCACAGGATGCTCCAGTGAGGGCGAGGGGCACTGGTACAGGGGCCCAGGGGAACACAGGGGAGGGGTCCCCACATCCCCTCCACAGCTACCTGCCTGGGGAAGGCGTCTCCAGGCCAGCCCCCACCTCCTTGGGAACATGATGCCTGAATGGGCAGAAGCACTGGATGCAGGGGGAGTGGGGGACTGTCTGGAGCCTGAAAAAGGAAGCTTAGAGCTGCCAACCTCAACCAGCCTCCTTCGGCCAGCAGATCCCACTTGAGTCTCTCGTGGGCCTGTTCTGGATCTGAAGTGGGTATGAGATCTTCACCATCCATTCCTTTTTCCATCGTCACCAGGGATGTGGCACCTAGTTTTTGAGAAAAGGCAGCCTATTCTAGGACTGAGCTGGGAACAAGGGAGGAATTTATCCTTCATCCTTCCATCTATCCATCTGTCTTCTGTCTTTCCATCAATTTATCCATAGCCCTTCATCTATGCATCCATCCATCCATCTATCTATCCATCATCCATCCACCCACCCACCCACCATCCACCACCCATGCATCCATCGATCCATCCATCCACCCATCCATCCATCCATCCATCCACCCATCCAACCATCCATCCATCCATCCATCCACCCATCCATCCATCCATCCATCCATCCATCCAACCATCCATCCACCACCCACCCTTCAATCCTTCCATCCATCCGTCGATCCATCATCTACCCATGTATCCATTCATCCATCATCCATCCTTTCCACAAACTTTCACTGAGCAACAATTCTGGGCAACGGGAGACAGAGATGCAAGAAAAACAAATGATCCCAGAGAGCACACAGTCCAGAGGGAAGAGGACGTGGACATAGGCACAAAACAAAGATGCAAAAATGGCCAGCCTGTGGTCCACATCCTGGGGGGACAACTTGGGTCACTGGTCTGAGGAACAGAAGACTCAAGGAACTGGACGTTGTTGCCAGCAGTGTTGGATGCCCGCCATGGCAGCTGGCAGGGGAGAAGGTGGACAAAGGGGGTGATAAGCGGTAGACACATGGTGAGGGGGGTCAGCAGTTGGTGAGATTGGGGTGTGGCGAGTCCCAGCAGCTGAAGTTGCTGAGGCTGGGCACGGGGCAAGTCAACCAGACAGAGACAGGGTGGTGACTGCTGAGTGGGTGCTTGAGACTGTGTTTAGGGAGCAGGGAGAATTCACGGTCACAGTCACAACGCCTGGTGTGTGGCCATGAGAGTGGGTGACTGGCATAGTTGGGGTTCCAGAGGAGAGCAGGCCAGGGTTGTGGAGGGATCACCCACCTGGGGATGGGAACCACCAAGGACCACAAAGGGAGAAGCATTAGAGAGAGAGCAGTGCTGTTTTTGAAGGACCAGCGAGCACCCGTTTTCCATTAGAGCAGGGTCAAGGGCACGTTCCGACAAAAGGTTCAGGAAAAAGGGATGTTGCTCGTGGCTGGTCATCAGTTCAAGAGGGCACCGTGGAAGGTTTTAGGGGCTAGGGAGTGGTGGGACAAGGGGTCAGAGAAGGGGGTATCCAGAGCTATAGGACAAGAGCTGGCCTGGGGGACTTGAACTTGACATCCAGAGGGAGAAGGAGCAGACCCAGATCAGTCCTCGGGTCTGCGAGGCAGATGGCAGTGGGAAGCAGTGAGGGTCATGGGTTTTACCCACGGGCCTCACTCCTGCCGGGAGCCAGCTGAGGGTGACCTTGCCACAAGGCGCCTCCTGAACGCGTGCCATTTGTTTTGCTCAGAGAGACGTCCTGCAAGCAAGCTGCCCTTGCTTTAGCAGGTGACACATTCGGCCTGGATGCACCTCTTCCTGCAACACAGGAGAGCCTAGCTGTCCGTCCTCCTGAAAGGCGAGGGCCCTCGCCCTGGGGCTCCCTGGCACCATGTTTGTGTCTGGACATACACCCCTTCACCCTCACTCAGCTCCACCCGGAGCCCTCCGCATCCAGCCTGGGCCAGGGGTGTGGGAAAAGGGTGGTTGTGCCTCTTGAAGAAGGCTTTGGTTCTACTGGCTTCTCTCTCCCTGCGAGTTTTAGGCCTCGTATCCATTTTTTTTTTTAATGTTTTTTTTTTTTAAGAGAGGCAGAGACAGAGTGCAAGCAAGGGAGGGGCAGAAAGAGAGGAAGACACAGAATCGGAAGCAGGCTCCAGGCTCCGAGCTGTCAGCACAGAGCCCGACGTGGGCACATGAACCGTGAGGTCATGACCTGAGCCAAAGTTGGGCACTTAACTGCCTGAGCCAACTCATTTGCATATCTGGAATATCTTTATTAAGAGACTCTTGTTGATATTTACATACTTTCTTGGTAGTTTGGCTGGGTATAGAATTCTAGGTCACAGGTCGTGATCCTTCAGCAATTTAAGATTCACTGGAACTGTTGCTATCAAAAAGTCTGAAGGTTCTTTTATACCGTTTACTGATTTTTCTCCTCAAAAGCTTATGAAATTTTATTTTTGCCTCCAGTGTTCTGAAATGTCACATTAATCTGCCTCAGTGTGGGTCTATTTTTATTCATTGTGAAAGGCACTTGATGGGTCCTTTCAACCTGGCAACTTCTGTCCTCCGGATCTGGAAATTTGTCTCGAATTATTTCTTCAGTAGTTCTACCGCTCCTCACTTTCTCTCTCCTTTCTTTCTGAAACTTCTGTTAATCAAGCTCCAGGTCTCCTGAATTGGAAATCTAGGGTTTCTTCTTGTCTGTTCTTTTCCTATCTGTCTTCTCTTCATCCCTTCAATCTCCTTTATCAGAGATTTCTTCAATATTATTTTCCTATATTCTACTTGGGTTTTTATTTCTGCTCTCATGTCTGTAGTTTCCAATAGCTGCTCTCGTTCTCTGAGTTATACATATTTTCCTTCTAAGACATCATACGTTACATGTAATTCTACAATTGTGTGTGCGTGCATGTGTGTGTTCTGTGGATCTCACACCTTCTCCTGTCTCTGTGAGGGTGACAATAGTCATTTTTGCCCCTTTTTTCTCCCTGCACGGTTTTCGTGTTCTCTTAGTTGTTCTGTTGTTATTGCCTATTTGTTTTAGCCCCTCTATCTGTACGTGTCTCTGCCTCTCTCTTCCACATTAGGAGCTGTCCTTAGATTTGCACGAATCCTTAGCTGACTGCCCATGACCCTGCATGCTTGCATGAGATTTGTTGACGTAGGACCTCTCAGCGTAGAGTGATCTTGGTGGGACCTCGTTGGGTTAACTCTGCTGCCAATATCTTCGGTTCTCTCCTATGGAGATGGTCTGACTCAACAGAAACATTTCTTCTAATCTCCGATCTGGAGGCTGAGGACCCAGCTGAGCAGGGAAAGAAGACAGGAGCCTCTACCGTCCGCATTCAGGATGATTCAGTCCCTGCTGTATATGTGCACGTGTGTATTTTGTCGTAAGAGAAACTTTATACATAATGAAACCACAGATCTTAAACATACAATTTAATGGATTTTCACGAATATATACACCCCTCTAACCAATATTTCAATC